CATCTGCCTCAAGAGGAAATTTGAGTTTTTCGGTCACATTGCCAGAAAGAGCGGTGACAATCTTGAAAAATTTATAGTAACTGGCAAGGTTGCAGGCAAAAGGTCTCGTGGCCGCAATCCGATGCGCTGGTCCGGCCAAATCCGCACCAGTCTGGATACCACAGTCTACGATGCCATACACACCGCTGAGAACAGAGGAAGATGGCGAAACGTCATACAGAGAAGGATAATGGGAGGAGATGGTTGCGACCCTCAGACATCAGGAGTGCGACTCAGGGAGGAGGACGATATGAGCGTGTTTGGGATACTACATTAATTGTCTAGCTGCCAGCCCTAATCGCAACAGCATGAATTATGCGACCCGCTCCACTACCCGTTTTTGTCGGGATCTTGTTTATGAATGAGCCCATGTATTTATAGACAGTTTTCCTTTACAAGTGTCGTAATTATCTCAACAAGGCTTGTAGTTTCAAGACTTGGAGATTGATATAGGATGTATTACATTAAATAAACGCTTAGTATCTTCTACATTTTGTATTTGAAATGTTGTAGTGATTTGAAAATCAATACGATGAAACCCGGGACAATTTTGTTACGCTTCAGAATTTATTTATATGTCTAGTTTCTGTTGTAAAGCTGTCACAAAATTGTTTCTGTTCAAATGATACTGATAGTATCGTGTCGATTTGTTTTTATTTATTTTATTTGTATTTTTCGTTCAAAGATCACGCAAAAACTACTGATACCAGTTTTATTAAACTTTTCTATTTAAAAGGTTATATAGTTAACAATATATATTGTTGTCTCTATCTTATTTTTCTGCGATGATAGAAGTTGGACAAAAGGCAATGAAGTCAAAAAATATATTCATAATGAAGTGCAAAAATTCTGAGGAGAATGATATTTGGATAAATAAATATTCTAGATTCCACGGCCCAAGGCAAGAGCTATTTTCATCTGTACTCATAAGCTGTGCAGAACTGTATTATCTGATAGATTAGATTATCTGATATATGATCAGAAACCGATATCTTTCACTGAATTTCATTTGGCTAGCGGCAAGGCGGTAAACACTTTTATCACTTTGATTTAATTGCGAAGATTGGGCCCGAATTATATTTATTTTTACCTCTTTTTCTGACATTCATTAAAAATTGGCCCTGAGCTAGGGTCACCGTCTTTGCAACTAATACTAACCTTATAAATGTAATGATAGCTTCAATTCAATACTCAACTTACAATTTTAGATTAATTTAACAATTATATCAATTTTTTCGGGTCGGGTTTGAACCTCATATGTTAGGTCGAGTTTTATGTGACGCTCTGTACCCGAAGACGGAACGGCCAAGATTGAAGAAGTTCAAGGCCAAATTACTATATTCATAGACATCTACAACGTAAATGCCCACCTTGAGACATGAGTTGTAAGGTCTCAGTTTTAACAGTACAACAGCTGCCCCGCCCTTAAAACCGAAACGCATGACTGCTTCACGGCAGAAATAGGCAGGGTGGTGGTACCTACCTGTGCGGACTCACAAGACGTCCTACCACCACTAATTACGCAAATTATAATTTTTGCGGGTTTGATTTTTATTACACGATGTTATTCCTTCCCTTCACCGTGGAAGTCAATCGTGAACATTTGTTAAGTACGTATTTCATTGGAAAAATTGGTACCTGCCGGCGGGATTCGAACACTGGTGCATCGCTACATACGCTGGCATTTTACGTCTTATCCTTTAAGCCACGACGACTTGATTAATTAATCGAATTGTGTTTTTTATCCGTAATGATTTTTATTTTCAAAACAATCTGCGCGGTATAATCTCTTGCACGCCTTTATGATCCAATCCCGGTGCACAGCAACCCCAGTGTATACGCTGTAACCGTCCGCGATATATGACAACACACCGACTAGTATCTGTGGTTGGCTGGTCACTAAGCCATTGCCGGCGTCATCTCTGAAACATGTGAATAACTAATTTGAGTCTCCGCTCTTGTATCTCCGAGGCACTAGTTGTCGAATTCGGTTGAGTTCTGTGTCATCCGAGATCTGGACGAGTAGAGTTTAATGAGCAAAGAGAAGCTTAACTCAGTTCAGCTACCGTCTTGAGCGCGTAGACGAAAGTCCGGTACTTTCTTACTGGCCCAACAAAAGGTACGGAAAATAGATCTTGTACTAGAAACTACAGGAGAAATTGTGGATACTTTACTAGCGCTACTGACATTAGAAACACACTAAGTTTTGCTAAGCTTTGTAATGCAATCTTTACCTAAATCATACACCTCGTCTAACGACAATATTATTTATTACGAATATCTTCATTAATTGAGCTTAGCTACAGCAAATGTAACTAATCTTTTAAAAATATTTGATAATGCATTGTAAATCTCGTCTGATAGATCAGGTAGAAACGGATAAAACGAAAGTAAAAACTTTTCTTATTAGCATAGGCAGCTTTACCTACCATACCTACTTTACCTACGCCAGGGGCTCCCAAGCTTACTTTGCCTACTGCCCATTTTGAGAATGAATTATTTTTTACCGGCTCCATTTTTTCACCTACTATAAACCATTACAGCGAGAGCTTAGTCGGTGTCTAAGAATCCTCCTAGATGAAATTACAAATCGCCTCCCAAGCTTCTACACAACACCCCCATTTTTTTTCTGGGTCTCTTACCGCCCCCCTTTAGGCCTGCATTGCCCACAAGGGGGCGTTATCGCCCACTTTGGGAAAGGCTGACCTATGCGGTCTACGTTACACTATGTGCAGTGGTGTTAGGGTGCACCAGCCTCGGCACTTTCAATGAACCGTTACATTTCTACCTATTCCATTTTGACCACACAGTTACTAGGGGATGCTAGGGTGATAATACACGGGTTAGAGACGTCTTTGCTTATCAGCATATTCGGGTAAGCGCTTAAAAGAGCTTATCAACAATACAAGCCTCAACCAAAGGTTTCTACTCTGAAAATAATAGCGTATCATTACTACCACCACTACTACTACTAAAGATGAACACTAAAGATGATGATGAATCATGGCCATGTAGTTTACTACTAGTTTACTACAAGGCCATGTTTGATTTACGAGCTTAGTACATATCTCTAGCAGCTAAATCTATAACTTACTTATGATTATTCCCTATAATAGGTACACAGCACAGCGTTCCTCCTCCGACATTGTACCCTGTGATCTGGCTGCATTCTTGCTGCGTCATGATCTCTTGTTTAGTCGCTTTAAGCGATCGGCGGCTACTGAAATCCCCGAGTTTCTCCAACTGGAAATATTCATTTCATACGATTAAGCATGCACGTATTGTGTAAAGCGATTTATCACTTGATTTGACAGATGTTTTGGGCTGGTTTGGATGTTTTCTGGTAATACAATAAATAAATGTCCTGCTAAAAGGTTTATTTTAAGTTTTATCTTTATATATTCTGCTTTCGCCTTTCAAAAGTTCTACAGTTCTTACCCTTTTGCGAACCATTTAACGAAACAACGTATAATAATACTAGCTTTTGCCCGTGACTTCGTCCGCGTGGAAAAGTTCACAAATAATGCTTTATTTTAGAACAAATTTGGTTAGTATAAAAAACGTTATAGTGAGCCAACCTTAACATATAGACATATGCTGTCGCGGACTTTTTTTTAGATCTTTTAAAGGAGAACAATTCTGTCATACATTATTTTAGCGAAACTTTGACCGTTTCTGCAGCGCACGAAGCGGAAGCTGTCAAAAGGTAAATATAGCCCCGATTTTGAAACATTCGTTATTGGTGCTCCGCTTGTATTGGTCTTAGCGTGACGTTATATAGCATAAATTCGATAAATGAGCTATCTAACACTGAAATAATTTTTCAAATCGGACCAGTAGTTTCTGAGATTAGCGCGTTCAAACAGACAAACTCTTCATCTTTATAATATTAGTATAGATTGGTAAGACGCGCCTCGAAGGTGTCAACGATATATAGCTACAATAACTCATTTTAATGAAGACAGTTAATGTTTAGGTATATTTTAATCCAAATTAACACAGATTAATTCAATATACTCGTAGTATCTCCCGTTCCTGGATAGATTTTCTGTATTTTTGTGGCGGTGGACCGACGACCTAGTCAAAGTGGCTGGTAGGGACTACATACTAAAGGCAAGAGACCGAAAAGAATAGGGTACATTTGAAGAGACCTACACTCGGCATTGGGTGAACACGGGTTGAAGAAGATAATTCAATATAATACCGCGCCATTAGAAATGGGTTTTGGAGAAATACATCGGCCTTATCATTAAAAAAAAAATACTGATTAATATTTAAAATAATTGCCTGTTTACGGTTTTCACTGAAAATGTTTCAGTACTTTTATGCCAAAACACGTAATCATTGGTATTTGATTTTTATTAAGACCAGAATTATTTTCAATTCGTTTCGCTTCAGATTATTACAAATTTTCTCCTTCTTTACCTGCTGTAGTTTTTGTAGAGTACATTTATAATTCCGTCACGTAGATCCATGCAATCTCAGATGCTGCGTTTTGTTCGTTTTGTGATTAGACAATAGCATTAAAAAACTAAATTTAAAAGTACTTACTTGAAAATAAACTGTCGAAATATCTTCGTGCACGTAACGACTGGATACTTTTTATAGAATTTTATACATATGTCTGGTGTAATGGCTGTCTGGTGTAGTGGTAAATGACATGGTCACTACACAAGGGGGTCGCGGGTTCGAATCCCGCCAAGGGAAGATATTTGTATGATAAATATAAAATGTCTTTTCCAGGGTTATGGATGTTTATTAAATATATGTATGTGTATAATAAAAATCATACATTTATTTTCGTTATCTGGTACCTGTAGTACAAGTTCTTTACGAACTTAGCACGGGACCAGTTAACGTGGAGTAATTGTTACTAAATATTTATTTATTTATTTATTATAGGTAGTATTTGTATTCACTGATGATTATATATTAAAAATAGTTTTTTTTAGTCTTCAAATCTAATGTAGAAATTGAGAATATAGTTTACTTACGCTTTGTTTGCCCCAACCCACTGAAAACAGATCAGTTCGTGGCACTGGATCTTTGATTGACAGCGGGATCTTCTTGATGCTCTGCTGAAGTGGTACTCTATAATCCAGAAACGCCACTGCCAGATTGTTCTTACCATTCACCTCATTATATTTTGGATTTATTTCATAATTCCTGACTCTCCTGATAACCGAAGAATCTTTTGGTACGTTTGATCCGAAAAACGCGTGAATTTCGCCGCTCTTGATCCGGATATCGTCCATGCAGTGCGCTGCCGTCAGAACAGCTTGGACCATTATAAGGGATGCTCCACACGAAGTCGGCCTGGTGGTTTTGAAATGCAGGAAACAAGCGTAGGAATAATCGTGTATTCCAACTTCGTATCCTTTGTAAATCAGAGGTTCCAAATCTTTAGTAACATTTGTGTGTTTCGATAAAGCAAATGGCCCGAGGACAGTTAAAACGTATAAATATAACAACAGATTATTCATTTCTAATGAATCAAATAAATTGCATTTTAACTAGCAGGTTACCCAGTTTAATGGCGTTTTCATTTGATTTTTAATTATTGCAGTTGCAAAACCATGAAAGTCAAATCATTATTTTATTGCCCGTAATTTTATTAACAAATCAATTTGAAAATGCAAACATTTAGCTTCGATTTTAGAACCATTTTGAAAGCTATGAAACATGGGTTTGAGAACTTAGGTCGAAAGGTTTATTTTATTGCAAATCCATTAAAATTCATTTTATTTGGATGAATTTGATTTCAGAAACAAAACGATGTCATTTATAAGTCTGTTTTGAATTTCTATTCTTGAATTCATTAAATTTTCTATGAACATGAGTGTGTTCAATACATACATTTCCCTTTAAATTATGGAATATTCTTCTGGCTTTGTACTATGTTTTGCATAGAATCAGAATGAAGTAGCACTGCATAAAAATGTAAATTATGAACTTAATAATGTACATAGAATAATGGAATGAAGGTTACATAGGAATAAATGTATTTCATTATTCTTATTGTATAGGAAGATAGATTTTCTACCGAGTAGGTGTCTTCGTTCGCGGCAGACTGAACGCTGTTGTCAGAAACTTTGCATATTATATGCAATTTCTCCAAATAATTGTAGTGTAATTTGCGTAATTACTGGTGGTAGGACCTGTTGTGAGTCTTCGCGGATAGGTACCCAACACTCTGCCTATTTCTGCCGTGAAGCAGTAATGCGTTTCGGTTTGAAGGGTGGGGCAGCCGTTGTAACTATACTGAGACTTTAGAACTTGTATCTCAAGGTGGGTGGCGCGTTTACGTTGTCGATGTCTATGGGCTCCAGTAACCACTTAACACCAGGTGGGCTGTGAGCTCGGGTGGACGAGCTCGTCCACCCATCTGAGCAATAAAAAATAAAAAAAGATCTTAAATGTACTTATGTCGTCGAGTCTAGTCTATATTGTGTTCTTATAGTCACGCATTTCACCTAGTAGGCCCAGAACATCAAAAATTGCAAATAAATTTTAATAAATTTGAATTAAAAATAGTGTAAGAAAAAATGATTTTATTGTAAAAAAGCGTCAAATTCAAATTTATTTTCTATTTTTTAGTTGGATTTTCTACAAAAGCGTAATTTGTTAGTTTTTTTAAACTATTATTTATTTCTGTAAAGCAGCCGTCAAGCAGTAATTATGAGAACACAATACTTTGCCTTCATGTCTTTAGGCGGGTGGCGGATTCAACCACATCCACAAGAGTTCACAAGAGAGAGAGTTTAAGGTGGTTGTGTGAAGTGAACTCATCTGCTCTTAGGTGTTCTCTCAATTTGAAAAATAAGTATTATAAGTCTTCTTAAATTAATCCAGTACGTAATATAATATAATAATAAATATATAAATGAAACAAAACGTCATAAGCGCATAACTTTCTGCTTTATTAATTGCACTAAAAGCAATTTACATTATCTCTTTAACCTTAAATTCATCTAATTTGAAAAAAAAAAATAACTTTCAATCTACCAGTTTTTGAAAACAAAATACCCGTTTGGCGTTGTGTTTGATCCAATCATAGTAATAGCCAACGTCTGTGTAAAATACGACGTTAGGCGCTTTTAAAGGAATCTTGTGGGATACCAATCCTATTTGTATGTATCCTCGGACTATCAAAGCACTGCCCGAGTCACCCCTAGATACGAACCAAAATTTTATTATTCACTTTACTTCAGAAAGAAGAGTTCAAGTTTAAATTTTCAAGAGGTAGAGAGTAAATGAAAGAAGTTAAGAGTTGAAATTTAAATTTTCAAGAGGTACAGTAAATTAATAAGTGCTTAATCGCAAAATGGTTTGTAAATGGGTTTTTTTTTTATTGCAAGTAAAATGTTGTGTAAAGTGATTAAGTGAAATTTCCAATTTTTCTAAAAGGAGTTGTGTAAGAAGTTGTATTAATAAATTAACTGATCAAATTGCTGGGACTCTTATTGAATAACTAAATCAATAAACAAAGCAAAATATACCTGTAGCGATTGACTTACATAGATGGATATTCTGAGGCTTTTGCATTGCTAGCGCAAATGGTTCCTGGTACTGCTTCATAGTTTGTTTCTTTGTAGCAGCTATTCTGATTTCGGACAATTTGATCCAAATATTTTAACACAGGAATCACTCTGATATTGATTTCCTTTAAAAAAAACCTTTAAAAATTAGTATTTTGACAAAGGATAATTTGTTAAAAACAAACATGAAATAAATCGTGTCTAAAAGAAGTAAATATAAGAAGACAATGTTCAAGTATATTGTTGTGGCTATGGAAACGTTTACTGATATGTTTATATATCTAATTGAACATTTATTGTGTGTGTGCTTTGATTACTATCTTTACTTTGATATTGTACTATTTAATTATTCTTATTAGTTTTATTATCTTTTTCTTAGTAGTTTTTATTTCTTCTTTCCCTTCGACTTTAATAGAATAGGTAGAAAAAAAAGTTTGTCGAATTGGTTAAGTATCGTGAAGCTAAATAAGAAATGGTTTCACTAAGATATTATTATAAGAAATAGTACAAAACAAAATTACGTCAACCACTCCCCAACCAGCGACAAATGCTTTTTCTTTATAAGGCGGGCTCCTCATCAGGGCTACTCGTTGTATTTTCGAAGTGAATTTCAACGGCTTAGATAGCCCAATGAGACCTAGATCCGAATGTAACGCCGACGGATCATAATTTTCATGTATAATGTATCTTCCAGCTTTTATTGTCAAACCCATATTTTTGTTTTCACTTCCGACAGTAACGAGAATTTCCTTTGCCTCTTCTAAGCAATGAGCCGCGGTCAGCAACATCATCTGATTGATTATCGATGATCCACATTGCCATTTGCGGACATTACCGGTTGGTGTGACGCAACCGGCTCTCAAAAAAGCTGAGTGGGGATATTCCTTGATTGACGCCAAATATCCGCCCACAATAAAACCAGACATCTCACATACTGTCCGTTCCGACCAAAGTAACAAAATTGAGATTACTTTCAACATAAGCATCGTAAATATGAATAGCAATTTTTTGAATGTTCTGTTGTTCGTAACCGTTAAATATTAATCCACGCTAATGTTCATCGTTAAATGATTTTATGATCCAATTAATAATTGGCTGGGTTTTAAAAAAAAAAAAACGATATTAATTATTGATGTACCTATATATCGTGGGGTGAAAGGCTATTTGGTTTAAGCGAAATTTTTGCAACTTTACAGCAGACATTAGTTTAAAAATTTTGAAAAAGAAAAATTTTTCTTCTGCTTTTTGAATGGTAGTAAACTTAAAGTAGTAAACTTAATTGAAGTTCAATTAAAAACATCGAACTTTTGATGTTAATCTATTTATATATATAAAAATGAATTGCTGTTCGTTAGTCTCGCTAAAACTCGAGAACGGCTGAACCATTTAGCTAATTTTGGTCTTTAATTATTCGTGGAAGTCCAGAGAAGGTTTAAAAGGTATATAAATATGAAAATGCTCGGAATTAAATAAAAATAACAATTTTGTTTGTCCTTTGATGTGTCCCCCATCGGACGGATTCCTTTTGTCTTTTATTTATCGATTGAGGCACTACGAAGTCTGCCGGGTCAGCTAGTACGAAATAAAACGGACCTTTAATTGCAAACAGAAATGTCGCTTAAACCAAACATCCTTTCACTCTTCGATATGTATTGTTATGCTATTTTTTATTGCTTTTTTTTTACTTACGTTTTACGTTTTTCTTTTAAGGTCTTTACGGTGCATTTAGTGTTCAGTGAGTCATTACGGATCCTCCCAGACCATTAACGGTGCTTTTAGGTACCTCAAACACCAGTCACCGTCCTCGCCGAACCCGTCGCTTGCAACAAAGGGCTCAACAAGTAAATTAACACATAGACACAGCCCACTGAGTTTCTCGCCAGATCTTCTCAGTGGGTCGCGTTTCCGATTAGGTGGTAGATTCTACGAAGCACTGCTCTTGCTAGGGCCAGTGTTACAACACTCCCGGTTTGAGCCCCGTGAGCTCACTTACACCTTAAGGAGAAGCTGAAATAGCCTGTCAATGCTATCAGCATAGGTAGGAAAAAAAATGATTGACCGGAATTATACAAAAGTTAGGCACGTGGTTCTTGTACGCCATCTTGAAAATCAAAGTATATACTGCATTTGCAAAAAGTTTCAATGATTTGATTAAAACTAAAATAATTTTACTATTTAATGTCGTCGGGTTTTTTATTAACATTTTTTCTAATGTGTCTGTTCTTACAGTTTTTGTGGTCCCGGACGACCAAATTATTATTCCTCGATATTAGAATGAATTACCTTAAATTTTGTAAATAAACATGTACTTTTTTTTGCACACACGAAGAAGTAACTGTATTTTAAGGTCTGGCAGTTTGTTCGAATGTGAATGTCGAGAATATAATAAATAAACTAATAAACGAAAGATGAAACTGTAATTTTTTTTTTTTTTTTTCTCGGTAAAGCCGAAGGTAGCACATTGAAGAATATAATGCATTAATTCAACTGAATCTATGATTCATGTCAACATCGAGGGGAATACGCCTTGAGCTGCACGTATAGAAGGTCCTACTAAATTACTTTTTTCACTACCTACCTGATGGTTAGTAGTCACTGTCGCACATGGACATTATCAATACCAGAGACACGGGGCCAAGTTGGTGCCTACTGCTTTATGCTCCGCAAACCTCGCTTGTAGATGGTAATGTCATAACAGTCGGGAAGTTCAATCTAGAGACGCATACTTTAAATTAAAAAAAAAGTGGAAACGCTCTGCTTAACGTAGCGATTCCAGATACTACGGATGAACTTTGCTCTGGCGGCGGCAGGTGCGATGGTAAAGTGGAGATGAAGGATGAATTCCTGAAAGATTAATTCCTCAGAGCTTTCCTTACGGAACGATACAAAATACAGAGATAACCGAAGTCCCTACGTAGATCCAGAGCCTCCAAGCGATCCGCGAGAACGAGATTATTGACAATTCGAATGTCTTTCTTCTGTTTGGAGTCAAATGGAAGTAGTTGGTACTTGGGAGCCCCAATTCAAAGATGGATCACGGCCAGACCAGACTTGTGCTTTGTGAGGCAGTGAGAGGAATACTCTTTTTAAATTTATTATAAGTAGCACATTATTAATAATTTGAGTTGACTTTGCCAATGTCTATAACCCATAAACGACGGTAGTCACTTTCCGGCACGTGAGCCGATGTGTCATTATTTAGTAAGAACAACACATTATTCTAGAAAATAACCACATACCTGTTTAAATGCATCTAAAAACTTGAAGCTTGATGCCATGAAAATTATGCTAAGAGGTTAGTGACAGTATTAACAGTTCTCAAACTATGGGATAATAATAAGAATAATAATAAATAAGAACTATGTACTAAGATATTTTATTTATTATAGTTATTGCAACTCAATTCCATAGCTTCTTGTGCGATCCAATCATAGTAATATCCGGTGTCTGTATATAAGGTGATGTAACTTAATTTGTGTCGGACCTTGGATGAGACCACGCCCACCTGAATGAAGCCCCGCACGACTAGGGCACTGCCAGAGTCACCTCTAAAAGAAATAACATGTAATGGAAATATATAAAGACTAGCTGTACCCGTCCGCTTCGCTGGACATTTTTCTCTCCCCCCCCACAAAGATTCTCATCATTAACACCCCCGCGACTGGTGTAGGGAGTCCAACACTCATATAAATATTAGCCTATACATTAAGTACATGTATTTCCTACATGGATACCAAGTTTCAAGTCAATCGGATGCATGGTTCAGTTATAACGGAACATCCGTAAAAACCACTGTAGATTTATATATTAGTATAGATTATTTTTGTAAACAAATCTAAGAGGCTATATTTGGTCATGAAGGTTTATTTCATTTAAATGTTTCTTCGAAGTAAGATATTGTGATATAAGATGCTTCATGTGANGGGGACCACCCCCGTGGTGCGTCCCGGTCATTCCCCAAGTGGGCACTGAAGCGCCTGAATAAGGAGCTCCTGATGGAAGCCTCTACGGTGGCGGCGTGGGCGCCCATGCGTCCACACCCAGTTGAGGTCGAGGACGAAGCGGGGTGGTTCCGGGACACGATGCGTCGCATCTGTGACGTGTCGATGCCCCGGATTAGCCCTCGACCTCCCAATCGCCAAGTGTACTGGTGGTCGCCCGAAATCGCGCAACTCCGCGTGGAGTGCATTCGGGCGAGGCGCCAGTGCGCGAGGCATCGCCTGCCGCGGCGCAACGATCCAGTGGCGTTCGCGGTGGTAGAGGCCCAGCTGTACGGCGCATTTCGCGTCGCGCAGAGGGCGTTGCAGCTGGCCATCAGAAGAGCCAAGGACCAACACATGGAGGGTCTCCTGGAGACGCTGGATGAGGATCCGTGGGGGCGACCCTATCACATGGTGCGCAATTAAATGCGCCCATGGGCCCCCCAATCACGTCTCGGCGCTGTTCCCGCAGGAGCAGGGGGGATTTGTCGCTCCCGCTATGGGCGCGCTGCTGGAATACGACGGCGATGCCCCTGCTGAGGTGCCCCATATAACAGGGGCGGAGCTCCGTGTGGCAGTACGCAAAATGTGCGCAAAGGACACTGCATCTGGCCCGGACGGCGTCCATGGCCGGGTTTGGGCCTTGGCTCTTGGTGCCCTAGGGGACCGACTCTTGAGGCTTTATAACTCCTGCCTCGAGTCGGGACGGTTTCCTTCATCGTGGAGGACGGGCAGACTTGTGCTGTTGAGAATGGAGGGGCGCCCGGCTGATACTGCCGCCGGGTACCGTCCCATCGTGTTGTTGGATGAGGTAGGCAAACTGCTGGAACGCATTCTGGCAGCCCTCATCATCCAGCATCTGATCGGGGTGGGACCCGATCTGTCGGCGGAGCAGTATGGCTTCCGAGAGGGCCGCTCAACGGTGGATGCGATCCTTCGCGTGCGGGCCCTCTCGGAGGAGGCCGTCTGTGGGGGTGGGGTGGCTTTGGCAGTGTCGCTCGACATCGCCAATGNGCCATTAAGTGCGGTATGTCTGAGAATTTGAGAACATGATTTTCTGGTCATAATCTTCTCTCTAGCTTCTTGAAGGTAATTCGTCGCGATCTGTTTCTCTTCCTACAATAATGTGGATTGTTAATATTATAGTGAATATGTGTTAAAATGTAATTATTTATGAACATGCAACAACATCTTTCTATATTAGCTTGGTTTTAGAGTAAACGCTTTGCCCATTGAGAAACGTAAGTTCAACCCCGTTAAAAAGCCAAGGAAACGCTATAAAAAAGAAATGAGCGCTTTGGAAAACCATGGCTGGATTATATCCACTGGAACTTGCAGATTGTTTATTTGGAATTAGAGGGTTCTTCCGAAAAGACCGCTCACTGAACGAATTAAACTCCAATCGATGTACGATGTCCAATAGATGTAGGTATATGCGAAAAGATATATTAATTGAATTTAAAGTTTAGATGGGCCCTCCAGAGTTAAAAAGTAATATGGGAGAACATTCCTTCAATATTCAGATTGTAATCTAAAAATGTTTTTATTTATTGCTTAGATGGGTGGACGAGCTCACAGCCCACCTGGTGTCAAGTGGTTACTGTAGCCCATAGACATCTACAACGTAAATGCGCCACCCACCTTGAGATATAAGTTCTAAGATCTCAGTATAGTTACGACGGCTACCCTACCCTACAGACCGAAACGCATTATTGCTTCACGGCAGAAATAGGCAGGGCGGTGGTACCTACCCGCGCGGACTCACAAGAGGTCCTACCACCAGTACGATGTCCAATAGATGTATATGCGAAAAGATATATTAATTGAATTTAAAGTTTAGATGGGCCCTCCAGAGATAAAAAGTAATATGGGAATGCTTGATGAGAACATTCCTTCAATATTCGGATTGTGATCTCAAATATTCTTGCCGTACAGTATTGATACGCTACACATATGCGTTGTGCAGAAATTGTATTGATTATCTTTCCTTAACACCAACAGTACGTAAGAGGCAATGGAATACTTACATTAACAAATCCCCAGCCGGAAACGTAAGCTTCTTCGTCATACGGTGGGTATTTCATGAGCGCAACTCTGCTGCAGTTCGCGCTTAGCTTTAATTGTGTTTTTAGCAGCACCAGCGCTATATCATACACCGCTGATTCGCTGTCATGGCCAGAATGTATTGCGTATTTATGACCCGATGACGTTATACCTAGATCCTTGTTCTCGTGGCCGGTGTGAATTAAGATTCCTTTAATAATACCATTTCCGCAACACTTCAAGCAATGTGCCGCTGTCATGACTATGTTTTGAGTGATTATCGAAGCACCGCACCTCCAATTACTGACTTCACCGTCTAGAAGGCAACTGGTCCCCATAAACGCTGCATGGGGCTGCCTCTCTATCTTCACGTGTTCACCATCAATGATGAACGGATCCATTTTCCTGTCACATGCTATCAACGGTAGTAATGACAGTATAATAATAGCCTTTATTGACATACTCGGTCTGACTACGGAATTCGCTGTGTTTACAAGGATTGCGTTAGCGATCGAAGTTAATTACAGTATCGGCGAAAATGCAGGTAATTGCAGCACATAATTTTTTAATGCGTATCGCTAATGAATTGAAATTAATTTGATTGTAAGCTGTGCTGGTGCAACTTCAGAAATAGTCGTCGACTAAGAAATAAGACGCCCGGCGTACTACCATATCAAGCGATGCTACTATATCTGTGGTCATATCTCGCAGACGGATATTAATTTTATTAAGGGTACAAATGTTAAACGCATTGTTTCCACGAAAACTTACATAATAAAGGCATTGCGGAATTAAAATTAAACCTTGTTATTGATGTTAGATATCACAAAGCACGATATCACGAAGTAGCCATGTGTTCGTGTTTGGTGGGCGGAACGGGATAGCCGATTTTTCTACCTCATGTATCAAGGTGAGTGGCAGTAGTTACTTTGTGGCGTCTATGGGCTTCACTCAACCGTACCACGTAATATAGGTGATCCGTAATCATTCGTACATCCATCTATAAAGAAGAACTTAGAAAAAGGATTGAGTACGACTGGAGCTATGAAACGTTTTTCATATTAGTGGATTAAATGCTTTAGGTTTATTTGCCTTGTTTAAAACTATGTTCTCCTTAAGCTATTGTCCCTAGCCCCTCAAAATTAATAGCATTATATTCAGTCTCGTTTTCGTAAGGCGACTTTTTTCCCCTACCTAAGTTGATAGCCTTGAGAAGTTATTTCAGCGTAACCTTACCTAGTAGGTGAGCTCACGGGGCTCAAACCTGTGAGTGATGCTAACACTGACCCTAGTAAGAGCAGTGCTTCGCAGAATCTGCCACCGCATCGGAAACGCGACCTACTAAGAAGATCCGGCGAGACACTCAGTGGGCGACCGTCTACCGAGCAAAGACATCCGTTTCCATCAAAACATAAATATATGTTCGAGTTGTAATAGCAGTTTTACTTCCTTATTTCCTTTAACTCTTACAATAAAAACCTCTCATTATCGTAAAAAAATTAAGGTTTTGGACTGTCCACTGCACGAAGGCACTCGTTTCCCTCAAAACATACTTTTGAATATCTACTCATATGACGGTTTTTCGTTCTTATTTCGTTAAACTTTAGCAGCAAAAACATTTGCTTTGTTAATGTTACTCGACGATTGTTATGTCATTAAAATATGTATTTACACGTCTTTGTTGCAAAAATATAATTATAGTAGAAGTACCTACGCTTGAAGACGCGTACTTGACTTGTAACTATACTGAGACCCTTAGAACTTATATCTCAAGATGGGTGGCGCATTTACGTTGTAGATGTCTATGGGCTCCAGTAACCAGTTAACACCAGGTGGGCTGTGAGCTCGTCCACCCATCTAAGCAATAAAAAAAGTTGGATATTCATTGGTTTTCTGAATAAAATGTAGTTTTTCAAGCACCATCAACGTAAACGCTTTTTTTTTAGTGCCTAGTTGTGTGGATGATCTCACAGCCCACCTGGTGTTAAGTGGTTACTGGAGCCCATAGACGTCTACAACGTAAATGCGCCACCCACCTTAAGATATAAGTTCTAAGGTCTCAAGTATAGTTTTACAACGGCTGCCCCACCTTTCAAACCGAAATGCATTACTCTTTCACGGCAGAAATAGGCAGGGTGGTGGTACCTACCCGTGCGGACTCACAAGAGGTCCTAACACCAGTAATTACGCAAATTATAATTTTGCGGATTTGATTTTTATTACACGATGTTATTCCTTCACCGTGGAAGTCAATCGTGAACACTGGTTGAGTACGTATTTCATTAGAAAAATTGGTACCCGCCTGAGATTCGAACACCGGTGCATCGCTCAACACNATAGGCAGGGTGGTGGTACCTACCCGTGCGGACTCACAAGAGGTCCTAACACCAGTAATTACGCAAATTATAATTTTGCGGATTTGATTTTTATTACACGATGTTATTCCTTCACCGTGGAAGTCAATCGTGAACACTGGTTGAGTACGTATTTCATTAGAAAAATTGGTACCCGCCTGAGATTCGAACACCGGTGCATCGCTCAACACGTATGCACCGGACGTCTTATCCTTTAGGCCACGACGACTTCAACGACGAATTTACTACTGGATAGGAATCGCGACCCGCTGAGAAGATCCGGCGAGAAGAGGGCTGATGCATGGGTTAGGTTGCACGTCGAACTCTTTGCCGAGTTCTACGAGTACGATTACCAGGATCCCTAAGGCTGCTCCTAGTGTTAGAGCTGAAGGCGTCTAATGCTAGAGTTATTGGATCTGAAGGATCTGTAAGGACGTGTCTAGGGCGATGACGGTGACTGGCTCTTGCGTGATCAGGATTCGGAGAGCAGTCAGCGGCGGCAACGATAAGGCGATTATCATGACGAATAGTAGAAGTACTTACGCTGAAGACGCATAGTTGGATATTCATTGGATTTTCTGAATAAAATGTAAAGTTTTTCAAGCGACATCAACGTAAGCCTTTTCTATCTCGTCTATTCTACACAGGCAAACGAAAGGTTGTGCTACGGCTACTTGAAATATGAGACCGGTGTCATGAGTTTAAACGAAAAGTGTAATAAAATTAAGCAGAATCAGTACGGCGGTAGCAGTTTAACAAGACTACCATCTGATTGTTGTTTTGAAAGAACTTGAGAAACCAAAGCCAGCCATTTAAAAAAATGAAAATAACATTAATGTAACCTTAAAAAACTTAGGTTGACAAAATAAAACAAATCAAATAACTATACTTGAGACCTTAGAACTGATATATCAAAGTGGGTGGCGCATTTACGTTGTAGATGTCTATCGGTTCCAGTAACCACTTAAGACCAGGTGGGCTGTGAGCTCGTCCACCCATCTAAGCAATAAAAAAAACAAAAAAAAACAGTTATTATATTTTCTGCAAAAAACTGTTACAATAAATCAGTATACTTTTATTACAATAAACCTTTCAATTATCAAACCTGGTTCGCATTCAAAGCATATCAACCACGCCTTTGACATTTACGAGGTGAGTCCTTAACAAAAGCAATCTATTCATTGCAAAGATATTGCCTAGTTTTAGAGAAAATCTGATACAGTCCTCAGTAAGCTGTTTTCTGGCAATTACTTGTAGACTACCTAAATTATTACCTTCAAATAATTCGGAACAGCTCATTAAATTGTTGTTTGAAAAATTGTGATAACAGTAGTAAACAGTAGACACAAAATTTATATAGTATCTTCTTGTTGGTAATTTCTGTTTCTTTTTAAGGGGAGATTTGTCGTCTAGTTTTACGACGAGCCAACATGATGTCAACTCACCTTGGCAGGCAATGGTCTAAGATTAGTTAGTTATTCAGCGTCGGAATTAGTGGGACGATGACACGGCACAATCTCGTATGTGGATGGTGAATTAGTAATAGGGCCTCAAAGAGACCGAGGTCACATAAGGCGACATCGTTTGATTTAAGAACTAGTAAAACAGCTTAGAAAAATATAATCGACTTAACACACAGCAACTATATGTGTAAGTCTTCAACTGTACCACTACCTTGAGCTGGTATATTACAAAATAAAAGGAAGCAGTTTTGTCTACGTGTATTGGTATTATCAAATAGCAGCATTACACTGGCTAAGATAAACAACTGCTATTTATAAGTCGCTTATAAGTTTACAGGAACGTTTAGATAACGGTCGATAGTCTTCCGAGATTTATAGCTAAAGCCCAGGGTGGGTACTGTCGAGTACCTACGCTACTTAACTTGAACACCAACACTAACGATTTAATGACGCGTTGGACTAAAGAAAACATTTCTACATCTGCTGGTGAGTAAATATTTATTGATTTCTTTGATTCGTTTTTAAATATGCGAGAAGATTAGATTTAGTAAAGTCAAATTTAACTACATTTTTCCAATTGTTTATGCTATTACAGATTGATTGAAAGGCAGTGATTGTGGAACATATTCCCTATATAACCTCATAGTGTCCTATGATTGTACTTTTTGAAATATAAAAGCGTTATATAGATCTCTGTAGGATACCTTCCAAATTATATTTGTGTAAATGAATTAAATATTCTCTGAGTAAAATCGCTGTAACATCTATGTATACGGATGTTTGTTGTTATGCTTACGGGCGGCTGTGAGAAATTATTTCGTGTTACTGAAACTTAATTTTATTAATAAAAATATATTTATCAGTTTAGCTACTCACTAGAAGTTCATTGTTAGTTTAGTTTGGTTTGGTTAATGCTTCGTAAATACATTAAAACAAACCGAAGTGGCAATAAACATTATCAAGATGTTGCTTTATTCGTGGAAGTCCAGAGAAGGTTTAAAAGGTAAATAAATATGAAAATGCTCGGAATTAAATAAAAATAACAATTTTGTTTGTCCTTTGATGTGTCTCCCATAGGACGGATTCCTTTTGTCTTTTATTTATCGATTGAGGCACTACGAAGTCTGCCGGGTCAGCTAGTACGAAATAAAACGGACCTTTAATTGCAAACAGAAATGTCCCTTAAACCAAACATCCTTTCACCCTTCGATATGTATTGTTTATTGTTTTTTTTTACTTACATTTTACGTTTTTCTTTTAAGGTCTTTACGGTGCATTTAGTGTTCAGTGAGTCATTACGGATCCTCCCGGTTCATTAACGGTGCTTTTAGGTACCTCAAACACCAGTCACCGTCCTCGTCGAACCCGTCGCTTGCGACGAAGGGCTCGACGAGTGAATTAACCCATAGACACAGCCCATTGAGTTTCTCGCCGAATCTTCTCAGTGGGTCGCGTTTCCGATTAGGTGGTAGATTCTACGAAGCACTGCTCTTGCTAGGGCCAGTGTTACAACACTCCCGGTTTGAGCCCCGTGAGCTCACTTATACCTTAAGGAGAAGCTGAAATAGCCTGTCAAGGCTATCAGCATAGGTAGGAAAAAAAAATGATTGACCGGAATTGTACAAAAGTTAGGCACGTGGTTCTTGTACGCCATCTTGAAAATCAAAGTATATACTGCATTTGCAAAAAGTTTCAATGATTTGATTAAAACTAAAATAATTTTACTATTTAATGTCGGGTTTTTTATTAACATTTTTTCTAATGTTTCAGTTCTTCCAGTATTTGTGGTCCCGGACGACCAAATTATTATTCCTCGATATTAGAATGAATTACCTTAAATTTTGTAAATAAACATGTACTTTTTTTTGCACACACGAAGAAGTAACTGTATTTTAAGGTCTGGCAGTTTGTTCGAATGTGAATGTCGAGAATATAATAAATAAACTAATAAACGAAAGATGAAACTGTATTTTTTTTTACTACGACTCGGTAAAGCCGAAGGTAGCACATTGAGGAATATAATGCATTAATTCAACTGTATCTATGATTCATGTCAACATCGAGGGGAATACGCCTTGAGCTGCACGTATAGAAGGTCCTACTAAATTACTTTTTTCACAGCCTACCTGATGGTTAGTAGTCATGGTCGCACATGGACATTATCAATACCAGAGACACGGGGCCAAGTCGGTGCCTACTGCTTTATACTCCGCAAGCCTCGCTTGAAGATGGTAATGTCATAGCAATCGGGACGGCAGGAGAAGTTCATTCTAGAGACGCATACTTTGAATTAAAAAAAAATCTGGAAACGCCCTGCTTAACGTAGCGATTCCAGATACTACGGATGAACTCTGCTCTGGCGGCGACAGGTGCGATGGTAAAGAGGAGATGAAGGATGAATTCCTGAAAGATTAATTCCTCAGAGCTTTCCTTATGGAACGGTACAAAATACAGAGAGAACCGAAGTCCCTACGTAGATCCAGAGCCTCCAAGCGATCCGCGAGAACGAGATTATTGACAATTCGAATGTCTTTCTTCTGTATGGAGTCAAATGGAAGTAGTTGGTACTTGGGAGCCCCAATTCAAAGATGGATCACGGCCAGACCAGACTTGTGCTTTGTGAGGCAGTGAGAGGAATACTCTTTTTAAATTTATTATTAGTAGCGCATTATTAATAATTTGAGTTGACTTTACCAATGGCTATAACCCATAAACGACGGTAGTCACTTTCCGGCACGTGAGCCGATGTGTCATTATTTATTAAGAACAACACATTATTCTATAAAATAACCACGTATCTGTTTAAATGCATCTCAAAACTTGAAGCTTGATGCCATCAAAATTATGCTAAGAGGTTAGTGACAGTATTAACAGTTCTCAAACTATGGGATAATAATAAGAATAATAATAAATAAGAACTATGTACTAAGATATTTTATTTATTATAGTTATTGCAACTCAATTCCATAACTTTTTGTACGATCCAATCGTAGTGATATCCGGTGTCTGTATATATGGTGTAGTAAGCTGAATTGTGTAGGATCTTGGACGCGACCACGCCCACCTGAATGAAGCCCCGCACGACTAGGGCACTGCCAGAGTCACCTCTAAAAGAAATAACATGTAATGGAAATATATAAAGACTAGCTGTACCCGTCCGCTTCGCTGGGCATTTTTCTCCCCTCCCCACAAAGATTCTCATCATTAACACCCCCGCAACTGGTGTAGGGAGTCCAACACTCATATAAATATTAGCCTATACATTAACTACATGTATTTTCTACATGGATACCAAATTTCAAGTCAATCGGATGCATAGTTCAGTTATAACGGAACATTCGTAAAAACCACTGTAGATTTATATATTAGTATAGACAGTGGCAGATTAAAGGTCCAGAGCGCCCTAGGCAATAACTTTATCGGCGCCCCTGTACCGGCCATAAATGACCATCATAATACTATAAATTTTAACTAGTTGTTTTTGCAATTACGATGACGTTGTATCATCAAACCCTAGACTTTAGTTTACCAAGACCCTTGTACTTACGCTAATGCGCGAATGAAATACAAACCGGCAATATTGCATAATACGAGTATATCGATGCTTGTGCAATATAATCTATTATAGATTTAGAATATAGATCATCATTTAGTTCTTAATCGTCGATATACTATTTTATTTCTTTATTTAAAAATTCTGAGCTCGCGCGCCCCTCGTAACTACACGCCCCTAGGCACGTGCCTAGTTTGCTTTACGGATAATCCGCCTCTGAATATAGATTAAGTAGATAAAATGTAACGGAACGAAAGAAATTGCCTAATTAATGGTGTAGATACCCGTGTATAATAGCTATTTTTGTCGACTGTCGGTTGTGCTATGTAGTTAATTACCCGAGGATGTTGGCAATTCTAGAGACCCTTTTTTTTTTTTTTTTTTTTCCTGCCTAATCTGATAGCCTTAGAGGCTATTTCAGCGTAACCGAGCTAGTAGGTGAGCTCACGGGGCTCAAACCTGATGACGTTGCTAACACGAACCCTAGCAAGAGCCGTGCTTCGCAGAATCTACCACCGGATCGGAAACGCGACCCACTGAGAAGATCCGGCGAGAAACTCAGTGGGCTGTGTCTGAGAGTTAATTTACTCGTCGAGCCCTTCGTCGCAAGCGACGGGTTCGACGATAACGGTGACCGGTGCTTGAAGTACCTANAGCCCTTCGTCGCAAGCGACGGGTTCGACGAGAACGGTAACCGGTGCTTGAAGTACCTAAAAGCACCGTTAGTGGATCGGGAGGATCCGAGATGACGTGTTTTGGGCGACGTCGACTGCTTTCCATTCTGTCCGCAGGATCGGGAATGTAGTTACCGGCGGCCACGATGAGAGGGTTCTCGTGTCGTGCCGCTTTATCGAAGTGGCGCAACGACGCCGACTGAAGATACTTACTGATGGACTCTAAGTCCAGGTCGTCATGGAGGTCGATGTTCCTGACGAACCACGGGGCTCCGACGGCTATCCTGCAAAACGGGATTGAATAATTTGGAAGGATTTTAAGTGAGTGCGGGCCGCGTGAGCGAACACTACACTTGCATAGGTCATGACGGGGCGTATGCAAGTTTTGTAGAGTTTTGTCACCTTATTTCTGAGGGTCTAGAGACCCAGTCAGACCATTGGCTATGAAGAATGGCACTGTTTGAAGTTCGTTCGTTCGAAAAACAATTAAATATTTTTCACAGCACACATCTTGGCGGGTGGTTTATATCAAATTGCGGAAATGCATTATGGAAGAAAACTTTGGTTTCATGGCGGATGTTGCGAAGATAAAAATAAAGATGAGGAGATTCATCAATATTATTGAATTCTTCGGAACATTCTTCATGGAGTATTTTTTTTGGTTCTTGAAACTTACAGGGCAGCGGAGCCATTATAATTATTTCCGCTGCAAATAGTGCCAACTGGGATATTTCTGAGAAATTGAGAACATGATTTTCTGGTCATAATCTTCTGTCTAGCTTCTTTAAGGTAAATCGTCCCGATCATTTTCTCGTCCTATATTAATGTGAAGTGTTAATATTATAGTGAATATTTGTTAAAATATAATTATTTATGAACATGCAACAACATCTTTCTATATTAGCTTGGTTTTAGAGTAAACGCTTTGCCCATAGAGAAACGTAAGTTCAACCCCGTTAAAAGCCAAGGAAACGCTATAAAAAAGAAATGAGCGCTTTGGAAAACCATGGCTGGATTATATCCACTGGAACTTGCAGATTGTTTATTTGGAATTAGAGGGTTCTTCCGAAAAGAACGCTCACCGAATGAATTAAGCTCCAATCGATTTACGATGTCCAATAGATGTAGGTACATGCGAAAAGATATATTAATTGAATTTAAAGTTTAGATGGGCCCTCCAGAGTTAAAAAGTAATATGGGAATGCTTGATGAGAACATTCCTTCAATATTCAGATTGTAATCTAAAAATTTTTTTATTTATTGCTTAGATGGGTGGACGAGCTCACAGCCCACCTGGTGTCAAGTGGTTACTGTAGCCCATAGACATCTACAACGTAAATGCGCCACCCACCTTGAGATATAAGTTCTAAGATCTCAATATAGTTACGACGGCTGCCCTACCCTTCAGACCGAAACTTATTACTGCTTCACGGCAGAAATAGGCGGGGCGGTGGTACCTAACCGCGCGGACTCACAAGAGGTCCTACCACCAGTAAATATATCAATAATTAATCCAATAAATAATCAAATATTCTTGCTGAACAGTATTGATACGCTACACATATGCGTTGCGCAGAAATTACATCGATTGTCTTTCCTTAACACCAACAGTACGTAAGAGGCAAGGGAATACTTACATTAACAAATCCCCAGCCGGAAACGTAAGCTACTTCGCCATACGGTGGGTATTTCATGAGCGCAACTCTGCTGCATTTCGCGCTTAACTTTAAGTGTGTTTTTAGCAGCACCAGCGCTATATCATACCCCGATATTACGCTACTATAGCCAGAATGTATTGCGAACTTATGACCCGATGACTTTCTACCTAGATTCTTGTTCTCGTGGCCGGTGTGAAATAAGATTCCTTTAATAATACCATTTCGGCAACTGTCAAAGCAATGTGCCGCTGTCATGACTATGTTTTGAGTGATTATCGAAGCACCGCACCTCCAATTACTGACTTCACCGTTTACAAGGCAACTGGTCCCCGTAAACGCTGCATGGGGGTGCCTCTCTATCCTCACGTGTTCACCATCAATGATGAACGGATCCATTTTCCTATCACATGCTATCAGCGGTAGTAATGACAGTATAATAATAGCCTTTATTGACATACTCGGTCTGACTACGGAATTCGTTGTGTTTACCAGGATTGCGTTAGCGATCGAAGTTAATTACAGTATCGGCGAAAATGCAGGTAATTGCAGCACATAATTTTTTAATGCGTATCGCTAATGAATTGAAATTAATTTGATTGTAAGCTGTGCTGGTGCAACTTCAGAAATAGTCGTCGACTAAGAAATAAGACGCCCGGCGTACTACCATATCAAGCGATGCTACTATATCTGTGGTCATATCTCGCAGACGGATATTAATTTTATTAAGGGTACAAATGTTAAACGCATTGTTTCCACGAAAACTTACATAATAAAGGCATTGCGGAATTAAAATTAAACCTTGTTATTGATGTTAGATATCACAAAGCACGATATCACGAAGTAGCCATGTGTTCGTGTTTGGTGGGCGGAACGGGATAGCCGATTTTTCTACCTCATGTATCAAGGTGAGTGGCAGTAGTCACTTTGTGGCGTCTATGGGCTTCACTCAACCGTACCACGTAATATAGGTGATCCGTAATCATTCGTACATCCATCTATAAAGAAGAACTTAGAAAAAGGATTGAGTACGACTGGAGCTATGAAACGTTTTTCATATTAGTGGATTAAATGCTTTATGTTTATTTGCCTTGTTTAAAACTATGTCCTCCTTAAGCTATTGTCCCTAGCCCCTCAAAATTAATAGCGTTTTATTCAGTTTCGTTTTCGTAAGGAGACCTTTTTTGTTTCCTACCTAAGCTGATAGCCTTGAGAGGCTATTTCAGCGTAACCTTAAATAGTAGGTGAGCTCACGGGATTCAAACCGGAGTAATGCTAGCACTGACCTAACTGCCTACCTGCTAGCTGCTAGCAAGAGCAATGCTTCGCAGAATCTGCCACCGGATCAGTGGGCGAGCATCTACCGAGCAAAGACATCCGTTTTTTAATAGTAGTTTTACGTCCTTGTTTCCTTTAACTCTTACAGTAAAAACCTCTCATTATCGTAAAAAAATAAAGGTTTTGGACTGTCCACTGTACGAAGACACTCGTTTCCCTCAACATATGCTTTTGAATATCTACTCATATTACTGTTTTTCGTTCTTATTTCTTCACCTGTACCACTACCTTGAGCTGGTATATTACAAAATATAAGGAAGCAGTTTTGTCTACGTGTATTGGTATTATCAAATAGCAGCATTACACTGGCTAAGATAAACAACTGCTATTTATAAGTCGCTTATAAGTTTACAGGAACGTTTTGATAACGGTCGATAGTCTTCCGAGATTTATAGCTAAAGCCCAGGGGTAAGTACTGTCGAGTACCTACGCTACTTGAACACCAACACTAACGATTTAATGACGCGTTGGACTAAAGAAAACATTTCTACGTCTGCTGGTGAGTAAATATTTATTGATTTCTTTGATTCGTTTTTAAATATGCGAGAAGATTAGATTTAGTAAAGTCAAATTTAACTACATTTTCCCAATTGTTTATGCTATTACAGATTGATTGAAAGGCAGTGATTGTGGAACATATTCCCTACATAACCTCATAGTGTCCTATGATTGTACTTTTTGAAATATAAAAGCGTTATATAGACCTCTGTAGGATACCTTCCAAATTATATTTGTGTAAATGAATTAAATATTCTCTGAGTAAAATCGCTGTAACATCTATGTATACGGATGTTTGTTGTTATGCTTACGGGCGGTTGTGAGAAATTATTTCGTGTTACTGAAACTTAATTTTATTAATAAAAATATATTTATCAGTTTAGCTACTCACTAGAAGTTCATTGTTAGTTTAGTTTGGTTTGGTTAATGCTTCGTAAATACATTAAAACAAACCGAAGTGGCAATAAACATTATCAAGATGTTGCTTTTCTATGTTGTCGACTAAAATATCTAAGACTCATCTTCATTATAGAGCGAACCGAGCATAGCTAATGCATTCGACCGTTGATTCAGTTACTCTTGTTCGCAAACTCATATAGTACTCGATTATGACTCGTAAATGAGTCGTCTATTATCAAAGGTGGCAATCTGTGCATTTGGACAAAAAAATGTTATTGATATGTCAATACAGATTGATTTGAATATAATCGTCTCCTTCAAAGAATACGGTTCAAAACCTGCATTAAATAAAGGTTAATAGTTAACCTGTTATTTATCTAAGATGTCGTTCCGAAGAGTTTTGTGACTGCCAATGGAATACAAAGTCAATAATTCGTTTTTCTGATTTACCAATATTGTTCAAAAGTCAGATTGCCGGCTTTGATAATAGACGACTCAAATGTGTTAAATGTTCGTTTCAAATAAAATCAGCTGTGACCAAACACAAATTGCTATCTCTATTTCACCATAGACTGTAATTAATATAATTTTTATTAAAAAAAATAGAGAGGTGAGGGTGATCGCGTGTTCATTTCTTAGAAAATATGTAATAATTCAAATGAAGTTTACTATTTATGTACCGGATACATTGTTTACAGAATTAAATTTTTTTTTCCTACGTAAGCTGATAGTGCAGAGATACCATAACAGCGTAACCTTAACTAGTAGGTGAGCTCGCGGGGCTCAAACTTGATGATGCTGCTAACACGAACCCTAACAAGACCCGTGCTTCGCAGAATCTACCACCGCATCCGATCCACTGAGAGGATCCGGCGAGAAACTCAGTGGGTTAATTTACTCGCCGAGCCCTTCGTCGCAAGCGACGAGTTCGACGAGAACGATGATTGGTGCTTGAGGTACCTAAAAGCACCGTTAGTGGATCGGGAGGATCAGAAATGACGTGTTTTGGGCGACGTCGACGAATTTAATTAATATCGCTTGTTAAAACGTCATTCAGTTTCATATGAAAATTGTGGCTGTAGAACATCATATAGCTGACAATCAAAGCGCGATTCAGAAAATCTGTGGACTACTATCTATCAAGCATAAAATATCATGTTAAGTGGTGTATTTTCGCAAAGTTGACTATCAGACAGATACAGCGGTAAATGCAGCGTTCCGATTATTGGAACCACGATCCAAAATTATTTAGTGACAGTTGCAAGTTCCATGTACTAGTTAGTCATCTTCAGAACTGAAAAAAGTTTTTATCACTTATAAAGTTTAGTGCCCGTTTACACCCTTATAAGAAGCTAATTTTGTATACAACGAAATGCCACTATTTATTTGTTTTAAATTCACATCTTCCCTGATTGTTATGTCAGTCAATTAGAACATTAGTATTTATTCGACGAGTTTGAATCGAGTATCGTTAGAGTCTTACCGATGGTACGGTCGATGGGAGAGCACAAAGAAAAAGTACTGCAAATGGTCGGACCGTTAGGCGAAGAGCGGAATAACTGTCGTGTTCCGGTGCTGGACGCCGTTTCCAAAGCTTTGATTGCTGCTTTATTATGCTTTCGGAACGAAGTATATTTTTTTCAATATTTTTTTCCAAAGTGCTGACGATGAGAAACTTTGCGCCGTGACAATGGAGTTCAATCGTGTTAGATTTACGTCATCTTTTTTTAAAATTAATTCATAAATTAGTGAGATTCATAAATTAGTTTTTTTTTTTTGTTCTTTAAGTGTTCATAAAATGTTTTATTTTACAATAATTTTGGCTTTGTATGTTCCGAATTAACCTAATAAACTTTTACAGTTAATTAATATCGTTACGTTTCAAATTTATCGTCTAATTCAAAACACGCATTCGTGATTAATGTCCATATTTTCGAACCAAACATGCGAATGTATTCGAACAATTCACACTTCAATAACAAATCCACAACAACATTCCGATATTAGGTGTGAACATGAGAAACTTGCCATAGTTACTTACGATATATCGCGGCTTTCATCGAGCGAACTAGCTCCCAAATAATTCTAATGTATAATTCTTAAGATTAACATGATCAAAACATGTTTATGTGGAAACAAGACGAATTTTCCCGATACACTGCGCTGACAACACTAGCGTCGTGTCCGGACATAGAGTATAGATTAAATAGACAGAGTAGCAAACTTTAAATAATGCTTTAGATATTTTTTTCACACAACAATCCAGAATTTGTGCTCTATATTGTTATATATTTATGCTCTTATTCTTCATCACATAAAATTAGAAAAAAAAAAACAATCAAGTACTATTGACTTCGAAACTTATTTTACCCTTAACATTTCTAATAATTATATTTCAATCAGAAGATCACCTAGATAAAATACACAGCAAGAATAGGTAGAATCTGCAAGCTCACGACATATTCTACCATCACTGCTTAATATAGAACCTAGGGAGTCTAAAAAGCTTAGAAAATTAAGGTAAATAGATTCCATATCAAGAATGGATCATACGAAGTTACAGGAGTAATTTGAAGATGCTGAGGTTGCATTTTCCGATAAATAGCCAAAAACACTGAATACACAGTCTTTAAAACAACTGCTAGTTAACAAAAACAAATATAAAATTATTACATTACATTTATTGTTTTTCGGTTCGGCCTGAAATCTGAAAACCGCGACAAGAACTCGTGTATAACGTGGATAAATTAAATAGTTGTTAAATAAAATAATTTTGCAGTATTGACGCGCCTTCTGCAATAAAATGATTATCGTTTATCCATCTAGTTGCGGACAACGACATTAACATAAGGTGCGCACGCGCAAGACCGCCGGGCGCCTGACCGGTGCGCGCTCGTAGATTTATTGGCATTCACCGTGCTCAATGACACGGTCACTACACTCACTAGCACTACACTCCCAACTGGTCCTTTATATAACACTAACTATTAGCAGCGGCCACGCTCGTTGTATAAATAGCAGAAATAATAGAATCTTCAACGCCGCAGAGATCGTGTCTTTTTGATTGGCTTCAAACGTCGTTGCTATTTTAATACGCTTTTATTAGCTTCAGACGTATGTATGTATGTAACGGAATCTTTGAACATGATTTTGACCCGATTCAAAACGTCGGATTAACTCGAAATTTGGTATACTTATTAAGGACCGATGACAATACAAAATTAAAACAAATATAAAAAATTAAAAAATTGAAATTGAACTAAAAATAAACAATAGTTTAAAAAAACTAACGAAATACGCTTTTATCGAAAATCCAACTAAAAATAGAAAATAAATTTTAATAAATTTGAATGATTTTATTATTAAAAAAGCGTGGGGTGCATAGTATCCGTAGTTATAAATATTTTATGAACAGATATGGGTAGAAGTGTTATTTTGATAATATCCTAAAAAGCACCCCGCGCTTTTTTTACACTAAAATCATTTTTTCTTACACTATTTTTAATTTAAATTTATTAAAGTTTATTTTTTATTTTTTAGTTGGATTTTCTATAAAAGCGTATTTTGTTAGTTTTTTTTAAACTCTTATTCTCTTCCTTACCTAATCGCTGTTAACTTCGAGGGGCTATTATAGGTGAGCTCACCGGCTCAACCTGAGAGAATTTGCTAACACTAGCCCTAGCAAAGGTTATACAGCCCAGCTGATGGAGTGGTTGCTGTCGTTCATGGACTTTTTATTTATTGCTTAGATGGGTGGACGAGCTCCCATTACATCAGTAAAGGGGCACGGTTAAACTTCTGCCTATCATGGTATGTAGATAGGTAGGATGGTATCCACGAATCGGGGCAAAATTCGATAGTGTCTATAACAGTTATAATTGCTCTATACAAAAAATACATTCTTAATCTATCTCAATTTAATAACGAAAACTAAATCATTATCGAATATCTATACCTATATAATGATATTGGGTACTCCAGAATAAATAAACAATAAAAGACTTAATTGCGTTTTCTGTTATGTGTATAATGAGAAAACAACATTTAAAGCCCTTAATTTAATAAAATTATTATTTTTAACAAACTGAACCTTATTTTTACTGAATGTCAAACTTCACTGAATGACATATAAGAAAAATCCTTTTTATAAAACTAAAGAGTTTTAGACTATGAAGGTTTTTCTTTACACCTACATATTAATACGTGAAGCCAATACTTTGTACCCCTTTTTACGAAAATTACGCGGACGGAGGAGTATGAAATTTCCCACACTTATAGAGAATATAGAGAAGAGGTGCAGAATGTTAATGTTTTTTTATATGGTGCACAAAACATACATTAAAACAATTCAAAATAAATTACACACACTACCATGTATTTGACACACACATGCTTACATACTATTTGTTTATTGTCAAACTTTTTTTATTGTTTAAGATCTGTTGGTCAAATTTGAATAGATAAAATATTGTTTGTCTTTATTAATATTTGTCTAGAGTGTAATCTTAGCGAAATCTGTGATTATAGAAGTTTTAAAAGTCTTTGACAATAGAATCATAATAGTGTTAAAACTTATGATTTCAATTAATTATAGTCGAATTTCGACTAACGGGGACCACTAGTTTATCTAAATATCTATTTGCACATTACAAAGTTACACAGTAGGTAAGTAATGTGCCTTTGTGTTGGATTATGACGAAGGGCTACCAAGAACGTTCGAAGAGTTCGTTGTACTTACTCCGATGTTTCTGAGAACCCCTCAGCATTGTAGTAGGTTCTTTGAAATTTGCCCCACAAAATCTTTGACATAGACCAAAGCAGTTCGCGGCCAGTTTTTGTATAAAGTCTACACGTGGACACGTTTTGACGAACCATGCCTTGAAATACTGTGAATTATTTGCATGTAGCAAAACTAACGGGTGACTAACGTCAGTTAGTTTTCCGTGTACAGCAGTAAAAATGTTCTCGATTGGGCCA